TCCCTTCTTCTCTCCCATAACCTCGATCCCTCTCTCTATCTCTCCCTCTCTCCCTCCCTCTCGCTCCCCGAACTCCATCGATAGCTCTCGCGATCTCTCTCTCCTCGCTCTATAGAGGAGAAGATCATCACTCTCTTTCCCTCCCTCCCTCCCTCTCGCTCTCTCTCTCCCTCTCTCTCTCCCTCTCTCTCTCCCTCTCTCTCTCTCTCCCTCCCTCTCTCTCCCTCTCTCTCTCTCTCTCTCTCTCCCTCTCTCTCTCCCCTCCCTCTCTCTCTCTCTCTGGCACTCTCCCTCCCTCTCTCTCAGTCAAAGGGGGGATTCTCCGTAAACCAGCTGTAGCTGAATGTGATCCTCACTGCTAATCATATCATTCATGTTCTCCTTTTCATTATTATTTTTGGGGTCTTTGAATTGAATGTCTCGGCTGCCGGTGTCACAGCTCGGATGCCTTCAAGGTCTCACACATGGTGAGGAGAAATGGAAAATAACTTTTTACTCTGCACCTCTCTTTTAAATCTAAACACTTTGGATTTCGGAGCAACAATGGAGGGATTCTTCTTGTAGTTGGATGACTCATTTAGGTTATTCCCCCCCCCACCACCACCACCACCACCCTGGAGATTGCTGGATATAGATTTCTATTTTGTTGTCGTTCCACCTGTGTGTCCCACCTCTCAGACACTCTGCAGAATCTGTCGGTGACTTTTATGGAGTGTGAAATATTTGCAGTAAGTGCGAAGTTTGGAGGATCTGAGTGAGACGAAGCATGGCCGATGAGAGCTGCTGAACGTTTGTGTCTCAGGTAAGACTCTGGAGATTATAATATAATCCATATGCATGTGGAAATGTCCTTAAATATATAATTACATGCAAGGGATACTGTGCTAATTGGAGCAGACCATTAGTGAGCAACCTCTCCAACTCTGTTGCTTTCCAACTGTTGTAAAAGCAAATAAATGATGTTCTTCTTGACATCTTGTGACAAAGCGGACAAAGACTGAAGAGTGGCATTAACTCTGATAGATTTAGCTTTTTCTATTTCATATACACAGGGTGAGTTATTCATACAAGCTTGCATCATTTTGCATGCATCTTCTCAGAAAGTGGAACCATTTGGTCATCAAACCAGTCTTTATCAGTCAGGTTTAAATTCTTACAGAAAGTGTTTCAATATAAGATTTGCAAATTAAATCAACACCAGGAACCTAAAATGCAACCTTTCCAAATCTATTTTTGAATCTGAACGTGGCACGCATGTTCAAAACTACGTCAGACAGTCGGCGTCTAAAAACTAACCTTTCAGGAACATAGAAAATGGTGTTATTTATATATATAACTCCAGATAAATATTTAATTGAATGAGCTTGAAGCTATTTTGGGAGCAGCTCCCTAAGCCATGAGTAAAATGAGGGATTTGGTTCTTCCTCTGAATGAGAGTGGCGGTCACGCTGCATCTCTACCTCAGATTTGCCAACAACTATAAGAAGATGGAACCAGAAAAGAAGCTTTGCATTGGAAGCAGGCTAATGAAATCCTTCCCTATTGTCTGTTTCTGTTACAAAGGGAGATTATGGATGAAATAAAATAGCACGGTAAAGCTTCTCTATAACTACAATGGACCTCATTTACGTAAATCCAATCCAATTTGAAGAAAAGTCCAAGGATCAGTTCAAGTTGGAGAAGAAATGGGTTACGACTTTATTGTCAGATGGGGTCTGAAATGTTTCTTGCATCAGAGCAGCTCCATTTCAACAAGGAAAAGCGTTAAAGACTAGAAACAAGGGAACAAACATTTAACGAAACATACAATTACTGAATAGGAACATGCTCAAGACCCTCTAACGTGCATTAGATCTGTGATTTTACTTTAATTTAAGGATTGACTGGCGCACAAAAGAGTGCTTCAGTCTAACTTCATTAAATCGTTGGTCCTTGTACCTCCGATTTGATGCCAAACAATTCATATTCGCTGTTCATGACATAGTTGCGTTCAGAGATTACGTTGTTGGACGGCCTTAATATGTTATTATGGTCGGCTGATTCATAGAGTCTCTCAAAAGGTGGATTTACAATCTTTGAGCATATTTTGGTGGAGCAGTTTTGACTTGAAAGCATTAGACAAACACTTTCACCATGAAGTATTTCAGAACTGTACAACAGTCAGAATCAAAGTATGACAGTAAATATGTAAAAAACTGTAGAAGGATGTGTCTACTTGCGCAAAAAGACCTAAGGCGGTGGAGAACATTGATAATTTGTCTTGGGACTTTTACACATATATTCTGTGGTCTTTCCATGACAACACATGGTCTATCATTACACCCAATCAGAGATGGCAGAAGTACACACATCCTTTACTCAAGTAGAAGTACAGATACTCGTGTTTAAAAATACTCTGGTAAAAGTAGAAGTACTGACTAAAAGTCAAAGTAAAGAGGCTTTGAAATGTACTTAAGTAAAAAGTACCCATAACTAGCAGCTGTTTTAAAGAGTACCTGAC